GCAGTAGCAGTAGGAGTAGTAGTAGTAGTAGTAGTAGGAGGAGGAGGAGGAGGAGTAGTAATAGTAGTAGTAAAAGTCGTCGTGGTAGTAGTAGTACTACTACTACTACTACTACTACTACTACTACTAGTCGTCGTCGTCGCAGCAGTAGTGGTGACAAAAACGAGCGACACCTCCGTGGACCTGTGCATAGACAGGCGACGACCTTTCAAGTCACGAATGATCAACTCGCGCATTGGGTGCATGCCCATCACCATCAACATAACCATGACAATCTTCATCATCACCATCAACGTCAGTATCACCATCATTTGCCATCCGTGCCGACTGTCATCGTCATCATCGCCATCATCATCCTGGTAGCCAGCATGGGCATAACCATGACATGACCAGAACAACTCATACTGCATGAGTAACGACAGCAAAACGATGCAGATAGCACGTGATTAACCCCGGCATTCCTATAATACTGTGTGACAACTCGGGACTTACAGCACCAACATCATACTGATAAAAAGACACGACCAGCGAAAAGACACATATACCTTCTGTAAATGTAAATATAAGCATACACATACATACATGTACATACATGTACATACATATACATACATATACATACATATACATACATATACATACATATACATACATATACATACATATACATACATATACATACACATATGTATACATATACGTACAAGATCTTGGCAGTACTACAGAAAAAGAACAACCATGGTAACAATAGACATCTTATCACGATAACAACAAGAAGACGAATGACAATGCTGCACATCGGACATACTGGCCCTAAGAAATGGTGACAAGACTTCAGCTTCATTAACCCAAAATAGGCTGGAAAAGGAAGAAGCTGAGTGAGCAAGGGAAGGCACGAAAAAAGAAAGCAGGCAAGCGAACCAGAAAGCTTAATTGCTCGAGACATCACTTCTGTCCTGTCCGTGCTACTCTTCGGATCACTCTTCGATGGGAACAGCGGCCTCCTAAGAAGGCGCCGCATAGCGGCGAGACGACGGCTACAAAGGACATGGGGTCGAGACGAAGAGCACCTTAAACAGCGGAGGTTTCCGGAGGTCCTTTTCAGAAAAACCCTTTGTGGGGCTGCAGGATTAACAAGGTTTGATGTTGAGTTTCTCTTGCCGTGAACTTCGTGTTGGCGCACCCAAGGCTTTTTCTGGCTCCCCGAAATCAGAATGCCCAAGGATCGCCCGAAATCTTGCCTCCAGCAATTTGTGACATGTAGCTACCCGTAAGAACTGTCGCAGTTCCGGAACTCGGGTAAGAAGTCTACGAGGCCCAGAGAGACACTGAAGCCAAACTCAGCCAGCGGCCGGAGAGCAGAACTCCTGAGCTTTTGGTGCCCTCTTTGGGAGCTCGGAAGCTTTGAGACGACTCTGGAGCGAAACTCTGGGTTTCGGGCTTAGGGGTTTCGGGAAGCGCTGACAGCCCGCTTCTAGATCTCTGTCCTTGCATCACGACCTTCGAGGACTCAGCGAAGTTGCACAGCAGCTGTATGATGAGCCTCGCCGGAATCAAGCGGAGAGATCCCTCGACCCCAAACGTCACTCTCCTAAGCCCCCTTTTCTTGCACAAGGGCCCCCATGGCTGCAACGCCCTACTGCCCAAAAGCTGTGGATCCAAAAGCCCTTTAACCTAAGACCCTCCAGGGCTCACAGATGTAAAGCCTGAAAGATTATGAAGCACGAGGATGTCGAGGTTCATGACGTTTGGGCAGAGTTGGTTCAAGTTTTCGAACTCGAGCCCTATTCGAGAACAAGCACCCAGTCAGCGAGAAGTTCATCTCGCCGTGGATGGTGAGCGTCGTGGCAATCATAACCTCAGCAAACAAACCATCTGCTGAAGGACTTAGTCTGCTTTCTACCCAAGCCTCTTGCCATCTTGTCGGACATCTCACATCTTGTCACTGCTCTTCTAGCTCCAAGCCAAAGTCCCCAGACCTTCCTATTCTTATGCTTGAATGACAAACAGCTGCCCCAGACACAAAGCAGGCTGAAACCTGAGACGCTGTGCAACCCGAGCCACGCCAAAAAGCACCACAACCATTCGGGTACGGAACCTCGCGGAACCCAGGATTTAGAGGTCTGGGGATCGGACTTGGGAATTCAAAGGTTTGGGGTTGAGGACTGGGATATTCGGCTTGGGGCCTGGCTCAAGGTCTCCTCATTTCGCCACTGGGCCCCTGTTTTTAAAGCACCCTTCGGATCCAGCCCTGGACTTCCAGAATTTCCTGGCAGAATCGGATGAAAGCACCTGGAAGAGCCTCTGCCTGGAAGCTCTTGGGCTCAAGAGTTTAGTTCTTGGGAGGACATACCAGACCGGGAGCCAACGCTTTGCAGCCTGAATCCCAGAAATCGGAACAGGGTTTTGGGTAGATTTCGTAGTCATATAGAGGTCCGGACTCCTCGGGTTCCAAAGATGACCTCGGGTCAGGGTTTGCAGGGCTGGGTTTAGAGACAACAGGGCATCTTCGAATCTAGTGCGAGGCACTGCAAGGCCATATTAAGGATCACTGAAAAGACTTCGGGTTCCAGGTTTCGGCAGCTCACAACTCTCGCCGGAGAACTGCTCCAGTCCCAGCAAGAGCGAGAGCATGAAGACGATGATCACGTTGCTCTGCTTTATCATCTGCAGAAAAGGTATGCTAGCCTTGGCCGGACTTCTAAACTCTCATGAGGCTTTAGGGTTTAAAGTGTAGGGAATGCAGAGCTGCCCTCCGGCACGAGCGTGAACCTTTCATCCTGCTCTCAATTCTGGATCACTACGCCGGGTCTCTGGCTACGCAGGGGTTTTGGAATCAAAAACTTTCGAAGCTCGCGACATGGAGCAACCCTAAACACCTACATTCCAAAGTAACCTCGTGGCTTCGACAAGCCAGGAATCTCTCGGGCCTCGGGCCAGCCAACTTCAAGGACAAGCCTGACTAGACTTCATTACTTCTTTAAATTTGCTTCCAGCCTTCTACCAGGATTCCTCATCTGCTGCCTCAAAGCCGACACACTGCTGAGTTATTGAGGCCTGAACCCCCAACGCTTGAACCCCACCAAAGCCTAACCTCCCCAAAAGAAATTCAGAAAGGATTTCAAACCAATGAAGGCGCCAAGGCTCATACTGGTATGCGGTGTTGCCTCGGATCGCTTCCGGTAAATTTCCGGCTTCGGGTTCGGTCCCAAGCCAAGTAGAGGTCTCCAACCCAGCATCCCAGGCTTGAGGGTAGCACCAGCAAGCCACAAGGCCACAGGATCCCCGAGCGCTCCCACCAACAAAGCAGCTACCATAAAAACCCGAGAAGCTTTCGCGAGCATCGTTGTGCTTTTTGGTTTGGTTTGGGGTGGCTTTTCTGCCGGGACTCAGACTCCCGGGTCCTAGCCGCTTCTCAACAGGTCAGTCTATGGCTGCCTATCGTTTACTCTTCCCCCCCCCCCCCCCCCCGCTCCGGGCCAAAACAAAACCGAGCCCACTGCATGCGGGCAGGGCGGCTCAGCACGAGCGACATCACAAAGGCCAAGCCGACCGGCACTACTCGAGCAACGAGATGAAGGTCGATGTGTCCCTCAGGCTTTCGAAGTTGCTTAGGGTTTGCGGTTTAGAAGTTTAGGGTTCGGTCTCCGGGGCTCCGGGACCCCTCTTCTGCCTCATTATCTCGGGTTCTATCACTCTTGTTCTTTCTGCCTCGTCCAACAACAGCTGCAAGAACGCGGGCTGCAGGAAACAACCTCTTCTTGAAGTGGAGTCCCTGATCCTTAGCCCCGTCTCCTCTTCCCTACATCCTGACATGCCGAACCCTAAAGGTCCCTAAACCCCCCCAAACCTAAACCCGCCAATCGGGACATCTGCTTCTGCCACCATGCCTAAGACACGACTTCTATAACAGAGACAAAAAAACATGCACTTTTCTCAATATTTATGGGTCAAACATGTGCTTCGGATTGGTGCAACCGATGCCGTGCGTCCCCTTCTTCAGCTTCCTATTATCGCTACCGTTGTGACGATCGCTGCTTTTTTGCTACTGTTGCTAATACCAAACAAAATTCTGTTGGCACCATAGCTGGCTGTTGCCGCGACTGGGGCTGCTATTGTGCGACGCCTGCTCATGCTACTCCCATCTTAGTTTTTTTCTCCACTAGCCTTAACAGCAGCAGCAGAGATTCTCGAAAGCTTTTCATTGTAAGAATGCAGGAATGCTCCATGCCACCAACTGGCATCTTGCGATAACTTCATTGCAGATTAGCCGTAAACGGGTTGAGGGCCGCGGCCTTCTTGTCTGGATCTGTGAGGGCCGGAAACAGTCTCGGAGCGACCAGAAGAAGCAGTGTGCTCAGCACGGAGCCACCTTTTTGCATTCAACCCTGGGTTTGGGACTTGGGACTGGGTGGAACCCTGGACAGTTTTGTGTTGGCTTACACAGTGAGTCGATGAGGGCGCTTTCGCCTTCGTGCTGTCAGTCGACAAGAGATTTTTGTAGTGGCTCACAGTAGTATATATCTCTTGCAGTATTCGTGGTACAGACGGCGTGTCTGGAGCCCTTTGAGTGCTTGGGCTTTTTAAGGTCTTGGAAATCCAATCTAATCAAATCCTGGTGGGTCGAACGCGAACTCTGAACCACTACGGGGCACTAGAACCGGAAGAAGCTTCAAGCCATGTTGAAGCCCATTGACCCGAAGTTGCAAGGGGCCGACAGGATAGGCTTGGTGAGTCGGTGAGGCTTTTCTGGGAGCTCTGGGCTCTCGAGAGTTCTGTGCGCCTCTGTCAGAGCTTCGCAGCTCCTCTTCGGGCCAGGGCTTCGTGGCTTTGGCACCTTTGAAGGGCCTTGTAGCACAAGACGGAGGGGGGCCAAGGAAGAGCTTCGGAAACCTCGTTCAAAACTCTTGGTGCCCTCAGCAACTGGACCTCCGTACCAGGTGCGACCTAGGCACCGGCCATGTGAAGAAAGACCAACCTCGGCTTGAGCGGCTGTCGACATCACGGGACTCGGCAACTCCATGGAGCCTCAAGGACATCCTCCCACTTACTGTAGCGGAGATTCAACAATTGGCCAGCACATTCGATGAAATCCAGCCGGTCCCGTCGCTGCTGCAAAGCGTGCAGTCCAAGCCACATCACCGGATAGGGGAACCTTGCAGACTGTAACAACCGACATGCGTGGCATTCGAACATGTGCTTCTCGCAGGTGGTCTGACTCTGGGGATTCCATGCGAAAACCCTGCTTCGGTTGTCGGGAACTTTCGGAGTCGTATTTTGCATGACCCTTTATTTTCCGAGCTTGCTCTCCAATCTGGGACACTGCCTGCCAGGGACAATCTTCATGTCCCAGGGGTATCTACACAAGACTCATCGGCTTGCCATCACAACACACTGCTTCGAGGTTGCACTTCGTCTTTTGAAGTGTTGCTGGCAGGATGATGTAGTCAGCGACAGCAAAACGCGCGGTGGCAGATGTTAATTTCGGATGCCCGGCGCAGCATGGTTCGTCATCAGAGATGGCTAAGAAAAAACGGTGCGGAGACTGACGGAGCACAGCGAGTTCAATGCAAACTGCATATGGCTCTGCTTCTCGCAGCTGAACTCAACAATCGAACCCACATCCATCCCTCTTCAACAATGGCAGTCTGCTCATCTCAACCGACAACTTAAGCAATGTTCAAAAAATAAATTGTCTGTGCCACCGAGAAGGATGAATCAAGTACTTGTTGTAGGTAATCAGCGTGGCCGAAACTGCGATGAGAGCCATGCTCCAGAAGACCTCACCAAACGGTACCAGGTCTAGGATCCGACATCTTGGGATTTTCAGGTTGGAGTATGACAGTATTTTTAGGTACATTATAATATGTGATTGTATATTATATAATACATCATGGTTCGTTTTAGTATGTTCTAGTAATTCTAGTACATGAAGTATACTATCTTAAAAGTTCGAGGAATGCTCAGATGGATTTGGGACCATTCAAACAGGACTGGCATCCCTTTCTCTACTTGGCCTCATTTCCTCAAACTCAAAGTTCTGACCACCACATGTCAATGCCCGCGGCTGCAAACCTATCGTCAAAACCAAAGCCAAAAACTACTGCTTCGAAAGTAGATGTGCTGCCTTCGGCAGTAGCTTGTGGGAATCATCGTGCAAGAGAGGTTTTTCCTCCGACTCCGGTGCCTCCTCAGTTCGCAGCAGGGTTTAAGGCTGCAAACAGGCTTCGCTACTCTAGGGTTTTCGGGCTGTCAAGGATCCGGCATCACTGGATTCTGTACCCCGGTGGTTTCGACCACGTCTCTACGTTGCTTGGGCAACCAGCTTTATTGAATTCTCTTTGGACAGCACATTGATAACTACGTCATATCTCCGGCCCACCCCGCAAGCTTGCAAACTCCTCGTCTGTCTTTGCCGTCTTTGCTGTTGCCATCGCTTCCCGGACCAATTTTCCTCGGCTTAGCGCGGGCTAAGCGTGCCACGAGTACGAGGGTTTCGAGAGCTGCGACGATCAACTTTTCTGGAAGCAAGGCACCAATTCCCAAGCACTTCAAGAACTGCCAAAGCGGATGTTGAACCTTTAATGCGTAATCCGTAGACCTGAAACAGTGCCATGTCCTTTACCAACATGAAGTTTACGCATCCCGAAAGTTTGACCTGGTTTGTCAACTTGCCAACCGGTCGTTAGGATCAACGCTCCCAGACAACTAGGAACATTTAACGTGACTTTTCCTTTGTGGACACCACCTCAAACCTCACAGGAAATGTACGAAGCCAAGCATCAATACCAAATACTGCATGTAGTTAGTTGGTGACGCGTGAAAACCACGAGCCAGAATGGCTGTTCGGATCACGGAATACAAACAAGTTTGGACATTGAAAATATATAACAGATGCATGCCCGGCATGCTCCAAGTGTGCTCAAACTTCTCTCAGACAAGCAACACATTGCATACAAAGCACATTTTTCCACACTGTTCGTCCAACAGGCCTCTTCCATTCATGTAAACTCAATCTACAATGCAACGTAAGTCAACAACACATTAACAGGTAACCTATGTTCAGCTAGTCGGGCGCCATGATGACAAGATCATCAGCGCCCCGACAGCGAGGGAAATGAACCACCCCAGCCGGGCGAGATACCACTCCTGGCGGTTGTAGGTCTCCGGCGCATAGGCGCCGTCGGGAACAACCGGCCACTTTGTGACCCGACGAGCCGGGCGGACCCAAAAAGCCTGGCTTTTATGCATTATTTTGAGCAGTCTTTTCCTCGGCTCCAAAACATCTCGAAGCAGCGCCGGATCTTTTCCCAAGAGAAATCTTTTTCTGGACCTCCGGTGTCTTTTTTTTGGACTTCTGCTTGAGAGACGACGAGAAACAAGGAACGAGAAGCAAAACAAAACGGCAAACAAAGGCGAATAAGGAAAAATAAGAGGCAAATAAGAATGGCAAATGCGAAGAAAGAGCAAACAAGGAAAACAAAAGGCAAACAAAGAAAAAGTGCGCGAAGCTGTCCGTTGCTGGACCACCAAACATGCCACGAAAAAAAGATGGCCTGCGCCCTAGGTGCGGACCTCCTACCCATCTTTGGCTGCTCTCCAGCCAGCCTGAAGGCCGGGAGGGCGCTCGAGGTATCACTTCTTAAGGGGGAACCCTCTTTCGTGCTCTCCTTTCGAAAATGCTGGAAGAAGCCAGAGTAGATTTGTTTGGGTTTGTTGGCAGCTGGTACAGTCCCGGCAACACCTTACAAATCACCTCTCCACCTCCCAGTCCTTGAGAGGGAGAAAGAACAACGAGATAGCAACCCTGCAAGTGAAACATTCGAACGCTGCCAGTCGTGGTTCGTAAAGTCCAAAGCTTCCAGATCTTTGCTCTTGTTGGTTTGTGGAAGCACAAAGTTGATGTGAGTTTTCCCGTCCGCCTGATCGAGTGGCGTCCACACAAGAGCTCCACTGTCTCAGAAACCCAGCTTTACTGTTTGTTGCTTCATGAACCTAGCGGCCAAACTGCAAAACGCCCTGATGAAACTGCACAAAACGGAAATCTAACACCCAAAAAACCAAGAAGTTTTTAGAAAACGGAGAGAAAAGGACAAAATCGTAGAAAACGTACTCACGGTTCCGTTCATGCGGCATCCAAATCAAATCCAAGACCTGTTTTGTGAGCAGTCAGGCCGTGGAGAAGCGCCCAGACAGATAGCAGTAGAGAAAGCCTGCAGCTTGTT